CCTAAACCCCTACACCCTAACCCTAAGGATGTGGAGACTCGGGCCGCCATGGACTTGGAGGGAAGCCCAGGACTTTGGTTTCTACTCATGCAGGAACGGAAAAAGAAGGAAACTCCCATTTAGTGTTTAGGGTTTAAAGGGTTTAGGGTTTAAAACCGAATAAACCATTTCCTAAACCCTGCGCCCACCCAGTAGCAGTCCATAATAGGGGAAATATTAAGGGCTTCTACTGGGTGGGGACGTTATTAGGAGTTCAGGGTTTACGGTGTGGAGGGATCTGTTTGGCACTCGCCAAGTCCAGTTGTAAAAGGGTTTCAAAGTGACTAGGGCATGAGGGTTTAGGAGGTTAGCAAGAAATGGGAAGCTACCATAGTGGAGAATCAACTGGAAACAATGGACATGTATTTATGTATATAGGGGAATGGGAAAGAAATGGTAGCCATCAGATTATTTTGGATTATACAGGGGCCCCAGGGGATCCACTCCCCCATCACCCTGCACCCCAAACCTTAAAAAGCCTAATCCTTTTTAAATCTTTAAACGATCGAAAACTTGAAGCCTAATGACTTTGACGAGTGCAAAGGCATCCCCAATTTCCTGGCCTGGAAGGATCGCCATGGCTCCTCCGTCGGCTCAACCGTGAGCAGGATGCGAAAAGGAGAGGCCCTGATTGTCAATAGATGTATAAACATGTCTTTATATATATATAATATGAGCTATAGTCTAAACTGCATATAGTGGGCTATATAGGGTACTGCAAAAGGGGGATACGAGGAGTTTTCACAATGGCTCATGTATATGTATAAGCATATGTGCATAGGGGGAATTTTGTGTTTAGGGTTGGTTTACGGTTTATGGTTTAGGGTTCAGGGCTCGTTTAGGGTGTAGGGATTACCATAAACCCTAAACCTTCAACCCTAAACCCCAAACCCTAAACAGAATGATAATCAAGAAAGTACTGGTAATAGTTCAATGAAGTTCAGATTTTGCCTTCAGATGCGCCGGCCTCAGCTATCAGTCCGTGCTTCAAAACAAAGTTCAATGAAGCGTATATGGATGTGTATATATATATATGTATATAAATAGTTAGGGCCCAAATAGTATCCAAAAAAAGGGGTTAGTATTCGTTAGAATTATGAACCCCGGCTCCAATGTAGTGCCATAAAGAAGGTGACTGTTTGTCATGATGATAAAAGACTACTCCCTGTAGTATATTATGCTATAATCCAATATAGTATGTTATGGT